ACATTGGATGCAAGTACAGGACAGCTGTCGGGTATTAGAAACTGCCGACAAATCAATCGCGCTTCTAAAGGCAATCCGATAGATTCATCTAGCAAAGAAAAAAAAACCATATAAGAACTAACTATTATTCCCAGTGGGAAAGATTTATGATGGCAGATTTTTCTACTTATCAATCCTGACATACCATTAGTTATTGTCACTTTCCAGACTAAAAAATATTAAATACAACAAAATAAAATAAATTACCTTCACAATATGGATAGAAACGTATTTGTTCAGAGAAATTCACCTTGTCAAACATATTGGAGATGAAATTATACTAAAAGGAACTCAGACATCTGACAGCTGGTCCAAAGACTAGCTTTAATATCTCTCCGCAACATACCCAACTCTATGTCTATTGCCATCTACTGTAACTATCTACAGTATCTGTGTCTAACTATGCTATATCTATTTCAATGGCCAACCACTATCTATACGTCTCTCTCTATATATATATCTATTTCAATGCCCATATTTTATTCCGGTGATTTAAACAGAGACAGTAATCAGTGGTTCCTCCAGAATTAGCATGATAGAAGACGATGTTCTTACAGGGAACGCAAGTCAGCATGGTCAGGCATTGCTCAGAAACTTTTGTTGGGATTAATGTCCGAGCGAAATAAAAACAAACATGAATTGAAAAATTCAAATACTGCAATAAATATGAAAGGATTCTTAGTTGACACCTGGACAGATCACAGTAGCTGATACCAGTTTACCAGTTAGCTCAGTTCACACCCCAAGCTTTTCTGTATACAGCGCTATATAAATCAAATTACAATAAATTACATTACCTAGGAAAATAATAAACAATTTCAATTTTAATTTGATTACTATCAGTGACAACTAACATGTGATTACAAATAACTAACTGGAAGAAGGCAGCCATTTTTATTCGTCAGATTCGAGTTTTACAGTATAACTGAACTTCCCTAATTGCAAGATCATCGTTCTGAAGAGGGTCTTCATTATCAAATAACACTGTTCTACTCTAATTAACCACAATAAACACTTCTTGACAGCTCATGAAATCCTATAACTACATTTAAGGCGCACAGGGCCAGGGTAGACTCAGGGAAGATTACATGTTTACTTTGTCCAACCATGCACAATTCATCCTCATTAAGGCGACTCCTCCTGTCAAAGTTCTGCGATATTATCTTAGCTTGCCCACTTTGCTAGCATTAGAGTGACCTCTTTAAATGTCGTCTTCTTGTGACTACATGGGATATGATTAGGGAGCAATAACGTGCCCAACAGTGCCACTAATTACAACAACAATATTTCTCCGAGTTCTCACGCATTCAGAGTAGAATATCATGCAAAGAAGGTGCATGTTATTCATGGACTTGGAAATGTGATGGTCTCCTATGAAATTCAATCAGGGTAGTGTTTATTCTTTCCTTCAGCATTTACCTACAGTAGAAGTTAAAAAACAGAAGTCTGATGAAAGAAAATCTTGAAGCTTGTTATAGACTCCTCAAAGGCATCCTTTGCCCAATGGGAGGAAGCTTGTTGTGTGGCTTACCATTAACTGTATTTAATCGCAATTACTCCACTACGATAATCCAATCATTATCATAAATTATGATTAGCATATCTCGACATATTCATTCAAAATATTAAAACCTTATGTTTGAATGTTATATAACATTATATACCACATCATAATCACACAATATAAATCTCTACATTTTGTACAATATTTTTAGGTATTTAATGAGTGTATGTATGGATGTGGAAATCTATATTTACATTTATTACTATATTTATCTATTGGCCTACATTATTTCCGAAATGTTTTTATGCCTCATTCATATTATTCATTTGACAGAAGTCAGAAAACTTACCGTTATTTACTACAGTACATACCAAATCGATGTGTGACTGATGAAGACAACAATGACAACAATATTAACAACAACAATAACAATAATTAATAATAGAATATATATAAAAAGTGTATTGTAATGACTGTTTTTTATGCTTCGTTTTTTAAAGTTATCAATTAAAGTTGACACAGGTAGTAGCACATACGTATCCTTTAATCATTTAGATTTATTGTATGTTTATGATAAATACCATGTACTGTAAATGCTCATCAATATTCCTGGTAACAAATACATTCTATGTTCATTAAAGGTTTCATATTTTCCTATCTTACAGTAGTTTGGTAAATGCAAGTAATTAACAGTAATAATGAGGAGTAAAGGTCGTAAATTGGAGAGTATGACTTTAAGCGATTATAACTCCTTGTAAAAAATTACAGTATTCAATCATGATCAATACACGTGTCTTAACACCTTTAGTTTGCATTGGTGCAAGTTCAGACACCATCCATAAACATCATCAAATTCTTGCGATTTATCTTCCAAGTTATCGAAGAAGACAAATGCGTGTTGTCACCCAGCCAACACCAAAAGCATTCAGGTGTGTTGATAGATTTTTAGAGTTGTTTAATTGCACATCTTAATGCATTGACTAGCCATAGTAAAGCCAACCAACTACCTGTATTGATTCACTCTTATGGTGGATTTGACAAGCATTGTTCCTGATCAGAACTGTGCAATGTATAACACAATGCGGCACCATTTGAGACCCATTGGCCCAGAAGCTAACACGCATGCTACCCAAACCATTGTGCCTTTAGCTCTGTGCGATGTTGCCACCGCCTGGCCCGAAAACACGACTACGTAAACAATTCCAGCTCAGATATCACAGTTTCAACTATGTATTGTATTTGTTTAATCATAACAATTCATATTATACAACCTCTAATAAGAAACATCATTGATCCATAAAATTAAATATTGCTTGTTTTCCAAGTCACAACATTTCCATTAAAGAATACAAAATCTACTACTGTTTATCTTTTAGCCCACTTTATGAAAAGTCCTCCTACGGCATTCTGGAGCCAGCAACAACCAAGGAATCTGTAATTCGTTCATCAGAAAGCTTTTACAAATTATAAGAAACAAACCATGTTAAATGTATCATGCTGTTGTTAAATATTTAAAAGATGGGTTATAATACAGTATGCTGTGATAAACATGAAGATGTTATAGGGGTCTTAATAATAATAATTTACAGAGAATAACATTTTCATAGGCTGACATATTTTCATTGTGATCACCAGATGCTGGCAAACAACCAAGATTTAAAAGCCACTGGCTTTACAGTCCTAATCACTGTTGAAATTTCATGAAGGAAATATTAATAAATTGTTCAAACATAGTGGCACAAGCCTGTACAGTAGGTAGTATTTCTAAAGAGAGGTTTCTAATTTTTCACAAAAGGACACTTGAAGTCCACACTCACCTCATCCCCACATGGCTGGGAAAGATTTTAAGGCTAAAACACCTCAGAAATGGCACTCCAAGTCCAATTCAAACATTTGGATTAATTTCAAGAGCCTCCATGGAAAAAGGCACTTTTTAAAAAAGCCTAATTTATAAGGGCTTTCTGGAAAAGGGGGATCTTCGAACCCCTCTGTTGTAGCCAACAGGCTTGAGGGGATCCTAGGGAGAAATTGTTTTGCATACAATGGAACTTTGTGGATAAAATATGAAGGCTAATAGTAGTAAGTGAATGGTGAAAAATGAAGGTTCTAACAACATTACTATAAAACCATCCATCTCAGGGGATTCAAGTTCTTTGAATAACAACAGCAAACACTTGAGCACTCTGTCCTGCGAATGAAAACAAAGTGAAGAGCTGGCGCTAGAAAAGGTCAAACTCTTAGAAACAGAGAACTGAGTGACATGGCGATCAGGTCATCACCTTAGGAGAAATTGGGTCCACTTGAGATCATTTTCACCAGAGCCACACTTCATTTATCTATAAATACTTGATAATTGTTGTTCTTGCAGTGATGTTTTTTCATCCGATAATTCAGCCCAGGTAACCTATACATTGCTGGCTCCTACTGTAGAACTACAGTATACTATACTTCCCGATCATAAACATCATTAATATTTTTCCTTTCGGCTATTATGGAATAAATCCAAATATCTGTAAGGCATCATTAGGAAGCCTGTTGATAATGTTATAGTTCATAGATCACTTTATACCATCAATATCACATAGTATCCTCTATAATACCTCCTGGCACTCAGTCTCCCATTCCATCAACAAGATTCAATAGGTAATCAGTTCCTTACATCAGTCAATTCTACCAACTACTAGTGACAATAACATATAGTAGGCCTATCACCTAAAGGTGGAGGATGATGACATTTTTGTTGTATAAACACTTTAAGCCAGGCTGCGGAGGAAAAGACAATTTTGATACTGTATGCAACAAAGGGATTTCTAATTTTTAAAATTCATGAATAATAGCTAATATTAAATACAGAAAGTCATAAGCCTAGATTTCTGAATATTTAAAAATTGAGGAGAAAAGGGTGGTCGCCCTTTTCAACATCTTCCGGCACTGTGCATAACCTCTATTAATACAGTTATACTCACACAATGCAAATAAATATTTGTTTCAATATTCAAAATCATGAAAGTGGCAATTCACTTGTTACTGGATATGTACATTTTTAAAATCAAATTTTAAAAAAATAACTAAACTAAGCTGCTATTTTCAATCCTTCATTAGTTGTTCCTTGGTACCCACTCATCCAGTAATACGTAAAAATTACGAAGAGAGAAACAGTTTATAATTGGTAATAAAACTTTGAATCTAGACAGATGCAATGAAAAATTGTTCACCAGTGTTTTATACAGAACCCCCCTTGTAATTATTAAATACAGCTTCTTTTACTTCAAATGATGTGGATTAGGAAATCTATTATACAAGTACTTAGGGGATTTGAAGAATTAACCAATATCTAACATGTAAAAAATAGTTACTCAGTTATTACTTTCATGTACTGTTACACTATTTCAATTTATTTACACTCAAATTCTTAATAAAAGACCTGTAGAATTCAAATAAGTCGTTTAATACTTACAATTTTCTAATTTGACCCAATCTATCAAAATCTCCTCTTTTTAGGATGGTGATGTCATTATTACTCAGATCACTGAAACAAAATCAAGAAATCAATGAATTAAAATTTAACTCCACATTTATCCATGAAAGTTTGTTAAAACAGGAAGTCAACATTCATGTTTTCAATTCATCTTTGTATATAAAATAAAATTTTACAGACAGGTGTTTTATTAATGTAATGTTATCAGTGGATTTAGAGTGGACTTAGGGTTAAAGGTTCCTGCCCCTATTTTTTTAAATTTTTAAATTCTTGTAAATCAAAATAAACACCAGCCAGTAAACATTAATCAAATACAATGAAAGTGATAGAGCTTCAAGAGGGACTTACACACCACCCCACTTCACCTTGCATCCCTACCCACGATTTTCACTCCACCTGCACATCCATGCCCCTCTCCCATTTAATAAGCTGGAACTTCCCCTAGTTATTGACATTTTTTCATGGGGTAGTGTGAGAAAGGAGAAACTGAATGAAAATCACTTTTTCACATTCTTATGATTATGAATTTCATGTTTTAAAAATATTATGTCTGTTGAACTACAGTAATATATCAATACAATTAAATATTCAATATTCATTTTTCTCACAAATTAAAAGGTGCATAAATATGATAACACCGATTTCAATATTTTATTCATACACTCTTAAATTGGTGAAGTTTAATGAATTTTCATAGAAAAAAAGGCTGAAAAATATAAGGAAAGGTTGAAATATATGAGTTAAAGAGTTTCCATATGTTTAAGTGTACTATCAAAAATGTTTCAAGAAATAAAAGTGACCTTTCCTAATTTAAGACTTTCACACCTTGGTTTTTTTGCCTTTTGTGTAACTGAAGTACATGTAGGCTGCTAATGTGTTTATCAAGTAAGGAAAATAATCAATAGAATGCAGAACAATGAGCTACTTTCCCCATTGCATTTGATCATTTCAACATCTTGACTTTACAGATTACTAGCTTGGCTTCATTAGTAGGCTGTCTGCCCACATCAATATAATCAACTTGATTTTTTTTTAACCAGCCAAACATCAACATCAACAGCCACTGAAAATTGCTTGAAGCAAGCGAACTCAAATCAATATGAATTGAAAACTTAGGACTGGCCTTGACAAAAGTACATGGAGTAATTTAACTTGATCTAGTTCCATTGTTACATATAGAATATATTTTTATATCCAAGGGGAAAAGGGAAAGGGCTACTTAGTAGTATATCTGAATTATAGTAAAGGGAGAAGGAGGTGGGAAGATGTCAAGAGTATAATTTCCAGCATCTATGTCTATAAATAAGTTACTGGTACAATAATTATAGACACGTTTCAACATAAGATTATTATGTAGGCTAATGATGTATTCTATCGAGTAACTGTAAATTGAAATGTAAAGTGCTGGATATTTGCAATATTGTTTCGAACTGGTTTGATGTGTCTACAGTATGTTTTTATGTGATGGACATGAAAAAGAAAATGATTCAAATACAACTTACAGTATTTCTAACCATGCATTTATTATACAGGTCACTAAAACCAACTTTGTTTTTTTTAAGAAGCAGTAAAATTTTGCCTAGGCTCAGCATCCTTATTTGATTTGCCAATTTCAGGCTCAAAATGTTCTTAATTTGTTTTAAGTGTATTAGTATTACAAAACAAACTGTTTCAAAATGAGTCAAGATTTTTATATTTAACGTTTTCTTTTTAAAGACAACATTGATTTTTCTTTTCACAAATGTTGTTAGTAATTCTGCAGACTGATGTAAGTTTTATGAGATGAGTCATGTAGTAGGCTGAGTAAATCAATAAAACATGGACGGTTTTAGTAAATGACGAGTTTAATTGACATTAGGCTGACTTTTAAGCACATAGTGCTGTTCTTCAGGTGCAAGTGATTGAAGTTTGTTGGCATTACATATCCACTGATGAGTTTATTGACTGACGAAAAATTCTATTAATATTTCTGAAGATCAAATATTCAGGAGGACAAATTTGGTCACTTAGAGAGATCATTTCACCTGAAATCAGGCAATACTGAGGTATACATAATGTAGATTCTAAATTTTGGGAATGGGTTTGAATCAGAATTCTGCATGAGATTTAATGTACTTGAAAACTGTCTGGTTGGAATCACTAAAAAACGGTGCACTTAAAATACACATGTTAGTACTTGAAAAATATCTCATCTCTAGGAACCATCAACAAAAACATGATAAAATAGAATATTTACAAGATAAACAGCATAAGATGACGGATGTGACCTTGAAAAAACTGAAGATTATAAGGGATAGATTCTTGGCATTGAAGAATAAGTAAACAAATCAATAAATAACCCATAACATTGATAAATTATTGATGGGATGAAAAGAAGAAATAAAATAATGTAAGGTAAATATAGACAAGATGATAAACATATCAAAACAGACTAGATATCAGATTTTTAAGAGGTCAATAGGTTTGCAAGTGAAAGTAAACTTTATTTCAACCAATGCAGGCGTGGATCCACTTATATTTTAAAATTTCAATGCATATCAAAGTTATGTAGGCCTGTTGAAATAGTGCTACTCACTTATCTATTCTGAACATATTGTGCCAATAACACCCCCACCCCCCTCCCCAACCTCCCTTTTGAAAAATTCTGGATCCACTTCTGCAATGCCTGTCGGACACAGCGTCCGGCTATAGACCCTACACAACACAAATATGATTAAACAAATTTTAAAAACATACCTAACAGAGAAAAAATATGAAGTCCCCTAACAAAATTAAAACACAATCTGTATCTTTAAAAGAACCGCTCAATGAAAAAAAACTTCAAAATTTACAGCCAAATTTACTTCCTTAATAAAAATCACATACTGAACATGTAACTAATAACTAATAACTCATTTAAAAATAGACATTATTATAGCTGATACAAGAAACCCAGTTTATATTGTACAAGAAGTATTTCGATCAGCATTCCCCTTGATTTATATCCCAAGAGGCATATCATACAATCTTGTATAATGAAAGATATGTATCAGGTATTCAAGATATTTGAACCTGGGGTTAAGAACTCCAGCGGTCAAAATAATCCTTACATTCATTCCAAATTGTTGTATCATTAGGCTACAATGCTCTGTATTAATCATTGGAGTTATGGCTGTTAATTAGAGGACTTTATCTATGTCAGTGGGTGATGTAAAACTGGTTCATATCTCTTCAACTGTCAAGTTTCCCATTTATTTTCATTATGTTCACAACATCCATAACAAGTACAGTAGTTAAGATCTTTGATGATTTTTCCTAAGAATGTTGGTAACTATACATCAGTAATTGGAAGTTTAAGTAGCTGAATTTATATAGAAATTAAATAAATTATAATTATAACATATTTACAATAAGATACAAGTTTTTGAAATTGTGTAACATTTCACATTTTTATAGGCCATACTAAATAACATTCAAAGCAAAATAACTGAATTTGTATATAAAAATAGTAAATTTATTAAATTATATTACAACATAAGATACAAGTTATTCAAGTTATGTAAAATATCAAAATGAACAACTAATCAATAAAATTAGTTAATAAATAGCATTAACATCAACAACCATTCATTTGAAACCATTGTCAGTATTCAACAGAACAGGTAATGTGCAATAGTAACAATCCATGCAATGACATTATTATGGTAAACAGGACCAAACACAAGTTTATTCGGATGTTGCCTTACAATCTGTGTTAAGCAAATATTAACTTTAACAATAAATTAATCAATATATTGTACAATATTTGAATGAATTATTTGTATATTAAATTTCAAATATTCCCCTCACCAATTAACAATACATTGCATTCTTATTCTTTACTCTAATATAATAATAAAATAATAAAATTAATTGTAAAATAAAGACAGTGTAAACCAGCAAACACTAAATGTTTTGGTCTGTTTCAAATTTTAAATTAATAACTTACAGTACTTTATCTTTTATTACAAACTATATTGCAGAAACAAAATTAATTTTGTGTGTGATAAGTCACGCCACATTTTGGTGAATAAATAAAGTAAAATAAAATATTATCTTTCTAAATCCTATTTTCATACATTCCATTCCATTGGGTTTTGTTTCTAGAAATTTCTTAAGTTTATAGAAATCTTTATTATCTTTTAATCAAGCAATTTAAAAGTTTTGAGGATTTTTCTACTTTTTACCAGATAGTTACCTCTAAAAAAAAATGTATAATATAATTTTTTATCAAATGATATTTATTAACATGCTAAATACACACAGTTATAGTAGGAACTGTTTTGCTTTTCAATAAACTACAATACCAAATGTAATGTACAATTGGCCACATAGCAGAAGATATAAAAAGAAAGTTACCGATAAAACAATACACTTTGCAATTGGAATAGAGTCTTCTTGTCTGCATAACTGGCTCCTTTATGACTACAAACCTGCTATTCAATTCTGTTATTCATTTTCGCTTCATCAGATGTAGCATTATTTATTGCATGAGTCTTATCAATTTGTTTTATGGAGATTGTGGTATGCTGTGACTACTGCTTTAAAATTGAGTTCCTAATAATTCCGAGCAAAAAGCATCGTATAAATGGACATGTGATCAGATTTTTAATATCAGTTGAGTACCGAGGGAACATGCAGTTGGCTACGGAGTACAATGCGACATCAGTTCCAGTTTCGTTTCTTACTTTTCATTTAATTAATTTCTTCGGACTCAAGACGATCATTTTTCATCAAGAAATTGATGTCTATTGTCTCAGCAGCAATGCTGGAAAAATTAAACTTTTACAGTATTAAATTTTAATGATTAAAAATTGTTTTTACACTAAAATGCTGTTTTTGATGTTTGATATGTTTTTATATCATCATAGAGGGTGACCCTTCAATCAAGCTTATTCTACAGTGTAGTACTGTAGTTCTGAGACTGTCTTAAAAATGGAAATTACATAGTGAACCTTTATAAAGTCTCCAGCGTCCTCCCAATTTTTACTGGTAAATTTGTCCATATAAAGCCAGCTAAGGATGCAATGTGA